TAAACCAGTAACCCTTTCCTGAACATTTCTAGACATTCTACAGAAACAGGAGCCCACTTCCCAATATTTTTTTTTTAATAGGAAGAATTATAATGCACATGCCAACCCCAAATTTCCAACAGATTTCCTAAAAATGTAACAAAAATGTAAGTTATCCAGGTATAATAACAAGGTATCATGTTTAAATATAAAATGCTTAAAGCATGGCTTTCAGACCACTAAACAATATGGTTTTAATAAACAGCAGCTTTGTATATAGTAGTATCTTTTTGCCTATCATAAATCACTGTCTTTCTTGCTTTGCTTCTTTCTCCAATTTTCTTCAGTGTGTTCTCACCTGGTATGGGACTCATACCATAGCAGGCAAACCAGGGGCTACACATGAAAGGCTAAATGTGGAAAAAAGCCTTTAGCACAATCACACAATAGTTGAGAAAGTTCACATGAGTGTTTGCTGTGATATCAAACACCTATCCTGTTTTTGACACTCAGGGCACTTTAAAAAATGTCTGTGATTCTAAAGTTTTATCCATGTATTTGCAATGTAACAAATTTCTATACATCATGTTAAAATATTACATCAAGTTTGGGGGACATAAATATTTTTTCTAATATTAAACTGGCTGAAAATATATGAAAGGGTATATATCATGAACTTTCCATATTAAAAGTCAAGAAGAATCATTAGGGAAATGAAAATCAAAACCACAATGCTATCTCACAGACATTAGAGTAGCTACTATTAAAAAAAAGCAGTAACTAGTGTTTGTGAGGATGCAGAGAAACTGGGACCCTTGAATACTGTTGTTGGAAATGTAAAATAGTGGAACTGCTATGGAAAACAGGGTAGCGCCTCAAAAAATTAAAAATAGAATTATGTGATTCAGCAATATCACTTCTGGATATACTTCTACATCCAGAAGAACTGAAAGCAAGGTCTTGAAGAGATGCTTTTGCACCAATATTCACAGCCTCATTATTCACAATAGTCAAGAGGTGGACGCAACACAAGTGTCCTTCAAGGGATGGCTGGATAAACAAAATGTGGTTGATACATACATACAATGGAGTATTATTAAGACTTATAAAGGAATGCTACAACATGGGTGAACCTTGAGGCCATTTCTCTAAATGGAATAAGCTACACATAAAAAACAAATACTATATGACTTCACTTATGTGGCATGTACAGTAGTCAAAATCATAGACAGAAAATAGAATGGTGGGTGCCAGGGGATGGGGGTGGGGCAGGGGAGAAATTGTTTAGTGGATTCAGAGTTTCATTTCTGCAAAATGTAGTTGTGGGCATTGTTGGCACAACAGTGTGACTGCACTTAACACACCTGAACTGTGCACTTAGAAGTAGTTAAGATGGTAAATTTTGTTGCATATATTTCACCGGAATTAAATAGAGTTTCATCGGGAATACTTTAACCAGGAATATGTTCTGTGGGATGCGCCTATAGAATTGGCTCTCTGTATCTATGGATTCCACAACTGTGGATCCAACCACAAATTGAAAATATTTGGGTCAAAAGGGATGATCCATTTTCCGCCACATCCTTGCCAGCATTTGTTGATTTACTGATGGTAGCCATTCTGACAGGTATGAGACAGTATCTCATTGTGGTTTTAATTTGCATCTCTCTGATGGCTGGTGATGTTGAGCATCTTTTTCATATACCTATTGGCCATTTGTATGTCCTCTTTGGAGAAATATCTATTCAAGTCCTTTGCCCATTTTCTAATTGGGTTTTATTTGATATTTTGTAACTTCCTTATAACTTTTGGATATTAACCTCTTAGTAGATGTATCAGTGAATATGTTCTCCAATTCCACGGGCTTTTTATTTTGTTGATGTTTTCCTTTGCTATGCAAATATGTTTTAGTTTGATGTAGTCCCATATTTTTTTCTTTTGTTTTCCCTTTCCTGTGAAGAGATATCCAATAACATATTGCTATGAGTAATGTCCCAGATTCTGCTGCTTATGTTTTTCTTCTATGATTTTTATGGTTTTGGGTTTAACATTTAAGTCTTAAATCCAGACTTGTGTGGTGTAAGAAGGTGGTCTAGTTTCATTTTTTTTTTGCATGTTCTGTGCAATTTTCCCGAAACTATTTATCAAATAAACTATCTTTAGCCCATTGTACATGCTTGCTTCCTCTGCTGAATATTAATTGAATATGAAGGTATGGGTTTATTTCTGGGTTCTCTATTCTGTTCCATTGCTCTATGTGTCTGTTTTTATGCCAGCACCATGCTGTTTTGATTATTACAGCCTTACAGTATAGTTCATAATTGGTAGTGTGATCCCACTTTTGGGAATATATCCAAAGGAACCCAAAACACTAATTCAAAAGAACATAAGCACCCCTATGTTTACTGCAGTGTTATTTACAATCAATAAGCTTTGGTAGCAGCCCAGGTGCCCATCAACAGAAGAGTGGATAAAACTACTATAGGACATTTACACAATGGAATACTACTTGGCTGTAAAGAAAATTTTACTCTTTGCAACAGTATGGATGGATGTGGAGAATGTTATGCTAAATGAAAAAAGCCAGAGAAATCAAATACTATGTGATTTCACGCATATGTGTAATCTAATGAACAAACTGAACTAACAAGAAAAATAGAGACAGACTCATAGAGAGCAGGATGACAGCTAAATCAGGGAGCGGGGGAAGATAAGGAGGTTGAAGGATTGAGCAAAAAGGAAAAAGAACTCATGGACATGGACAACAGTGTGGTGACTGAGAGGGGCGGGGGGTATAAGCGGATAAGGGGAGGTATAAATGGTAATGGAAAAAAATAAATTTTCAGGAATAAACAAAATCGTTTACCAAATCTATGTACAAAAAAAAGAAAATATTTGGGGAAAAATGTTGTTTTTTGCTAACATGTACTTAGACCTAGGATGTTTGTGTCTGTACTGAACAGACTTTTTTTCTTGTCATTAACTAAACAATTCCATATAACAACTACTGACATAGCATTTACATGGTATTAAGTAATCTAGAGATGATTTAAAATATGGGGAGGATGTGCGTAAGTTATGTGCAAATACAACATTTTATATAAGGGACCTGAGCATCTGTGGATTTTGGTATCCATGGGGGATCCTAGAACCAGTTCCCCATGGATACTGACAGATGACTGTATTTTTTTCACTTCTGTGGCAAACCCAGAGTTGGGCCAAATGCAATGCCAAGTCACTATGTTATGTTGATATCTTGTCAAGAATGTAAAAGACAGTTTTTCTCTTTATCCATTTAAATCATTCCATAGAAGATGGAATTATTCCCGTAATACCTATACTCACACATACAATGTCAGTGGAATGTTTTAAGTTATAAAATAAATATTCATGTATGTCTCCTCCATCTAACGACCTTACTCTCTCCTTTTCACCACGTATAACTCCAACAGATTGCTCAAGACTCGATTTAGGATTGTCTTACTCTTGTAAGTATCCTAAATGCAACAGGACGGATTACATGGTTTTCCTCTTAAGACCTGTAACATCAAGCATATAATCTATCACACACACTATGCACCTCACTTTATTTTAATGGTTGGTTTCTTGCACGCTTCTCTCACTCTACACAGAATATAAACTCCTTTGCAGACAGAAACGCCTGTTGTTTTTTTTTTTCAATCCCAAATGTCCACCATACTGGTGTGGCAATGCTCAATAAACATTTGTTGTTTATAACTTGGTACTGCATTTACATTGAATGGATTAATGGATTTTAATTGTCTCTGTAAAAACAAATGAATCATTATCATTCCTAACCTCAAATTTATTTTTTCACTCTATCAAAAAGAAACACTCCTTACCAGGTATTATTCACTCATAGGTTATTTTTACTTCGCCCTTTGAATGGGTACCATCAAGGTTACAGGGGAGAAACTATTTCATTACTGCATATTTCTGGATCAAGAACCCAGAAATCAGGGTAAGAAAATAGTGCTTAGTCTGTTCTAATATTTGCCCTGAAAAATTGGTGGGAGAAAAAGTAACATAGCTGACTCAGCAAGTTCTAGGTGCTCATTTTCAATAGATGTCATATGTTGAAATATTGTTTCATTTTTGTATAGTTGAGTGTAAGAAAGGTTAAGAAGGTGGGTGTTGCTCTAGTAAACTGTCATAGAAGTTAAAAGTCTTAAGATAATTCTCAAAATAATAAGGGATGGAAGAAAGAGAACATGCCTCTCCTAAGTGATAAAGAACAGAATAAGCTTCAGGACAGTATCTGAAGAGATCATGTAGAGACAGAGTCCATTTTGAGGAAAGTGGTATTTTCATTAAACATTCACGCATGGTTTCAAAAATACCTTGGCTGGGAATCAGTGGATTAGGAGTCATGAGTTACGTAATTTAGCATAACTTCCAATATGAAAAATACATATGCTTCTTAATGTAACTAAAATAATCTTAGCCAAGAGTAGGGTGACAGCTAAGGGGTGGAGGGAGGTTAGGAGGTTGAGGGACTGAGAAAAAAGGGAGGAGGACTCACGGGTGTGGACAACAGTGTGGTGAGAGTGTGGGGTGTGGGATATAAAGGGATTATATGTTAATGGAAAAAATACAATAAAAATTAAAATAAATAAATGTCAAAAAAATAAAATCAACTTGGCCAAAGAACTAGAAAAATTTGTATGCACATGCAAGTGGGGACACAAAAAAACCCAGAATTATCTCCCGGAGGGTGGGCCCCTTGTAGTACAGGCTTCTCCCCCTAGGTGAGTGTTCGAGGAGCCCATCTGTATCAGTGTACGAGCCGGTGGTGGTGTTAGAGGCTGCGTCTGGCTTCAGTAATTTTTTTGGAAGACTCTTTCAGTGTGTTTGCCCATTTCAGGATGGGGGATCTATGAGCACACCTGCCCACACCGTGCTGAGTGTTCAGGAGTTGTTTTTCAAAAATTTAATCTTTATTGCATTTTTTTCCATTACTATTTATTCCCCTTTTACTTTCCTCCCCTTAGCAACCACACAAAAATATGAAACACCTCACAATTTGCGTGTCATCCTTGCACAGGGAGCCATGCTAATCTTCTCTGCATCTCTCCAATTTTAGTACAGTGCTGCCAAAGGGAGCATTGGTCGGCAGATTTTGACCAAAAGCAGCGTGACCCCTGTGCCCCACAAATGCAACTTTTTTTGTTTCCCCAGATGAAAAAGTCCTCAAAGGGAAACATTTTGCTTATGTGGAAGAGGTGAAACAAAAAATGTCAGAAGCACTGAAAGGCATCAAAATCAACGCATTCAAAACAGTTTGTGCAGTGAAAAAAACGTCTCAAAAGGCGTATTGCATCAAATGGAGAGTACTTTGAAGGTGACTGAAACTTAAACATGTAAGAATAAATATACAATTTTTTTATAAATAAATTCTCTTTTTTGGGGGTCCACCTGGTAAAGCAATTGTTTCTTAATCAAACATGCAAAAATACCAAACTACTGCTCTTTGAACATTCAAATTTTAAAAGAAGCGATTATATATCAGGCACACAAGTTGTTTGGAATTAAAAAAGCAGGTAACATGTCAGAGGAAAGAGATTTAAGACAAATCTTATATTCTTTTCAAACAAATACTGGAAACTATTAACTGAAGTTCACACAAAGATGACTTGTGCAAAAATATCTTAAAGGGCCTTCTGAATGAGTGAATTTATAAAGTAACCAAATAATACTTTCCTTTACAGAGATGGTATATCAAGATGAGTTGATGCACACAACACACAAATACAGTAACATACTTTCAGCCCAAGTCAGATGTTTAATAATTGCTGACTGAACGTAGATAAAATTTTTACTTAATCAATCAATCAATTGACTAGATCCGTATTTTTCAAAACAAATCTTAACACTTTTCAGAAAGAAATGAGTCTGTCATAAACCTAAATTATTCTTACCTAATAAAGAAAAGCAGACTTAAAAGGAAGTTTCAAATTGTAAGATAAATGCAGTTCCCTGTGACAACAAATTGGAATGCAGTGTATTTTGAGGCCAACAGTTCCCCAGAATAGTTCAAAGGAGAATTCTAATACCAGAGGGATTCTGTAATGGTTTTAAGATTCAGAGATAACAATAAAGCAGAGAGTACAGCTTATACCCCAAGAAATAAGAAGGATTTACATCCTTACAAAATTTTCCTGTCTCAATCTCTAATAAATTCTTTTATATTTGCTCTGACTGGTGTGGCTCAGTAGATTGAGTGCTGGCCTGTAAATCAAATGGTAGTTGGATCAATTCCCAGTCAGGGCACATGCCTGGGTTGCAGGCCGGTTCCCCAGTAGTGGGCGATCAAGAGGCAACCACACATTGATGTCTCTCCCTCTCTTTCTCCCTCCCTTCCCCTCTCTAAAAATAAATAAAATCATTAAAAGAAATCTTAATTCCACACTGCATTACTAATCAACCCCTTACCTTCTCAGTTTCTTTTCATTAGCAACTGCATCTGCAGTCATTGCTCTTAAAATTGCATTTGTTAGAACTAACTTAAAGTTGTTTTATAAAAATAATTTAATATTTTTCATAAACAATCCTGTTTTTTGGACTGCATGACTAACTGGGGGGGTTATCATGTACTCAAGAAATATTATTGTATGAATTAAAATCAAACTATGCCCGTAAAAAGATTTAATGCCTGAATACAAATTGTTTTTTCCCTCTAAAGTTACCCCCACTGAAAAGGATATGGAGCCTTACTCTATATGGAAGGCTTAAAATCAAATGTAATACTGACTGTGTATTCAGATTTTAAAAGAACGTATTTCAAAACAATTTAGGAACAAGGATGATATGCTTTGGTAAACTCTATCATAAGGCTCAAAAAGGATTTAATGATGACCAAGGTTAGTGTCAAAGATGTATGAAAGGACACTGAAACTGTTCTACAACCTAGGTTAAAATTTTAGAAATATTTTAGTATGACATACAATTGACATTTAAACATTTTATCTGCATCTCTGAAAGTTTTTGTTTTTTTACTAAAAAACTTTTCTTTGGGGAATCTTGTCATTGCGAAAATAAGGGCATAGTCTTATATTTTTGGCTAGATTCAGAACTCAAGTTTTAGAGGCATGTTAATGGAAGGCAGAGTAATTTAATCAAAATATAAGAATATGAAAGTTAGGTTGATCACCTCCTCAAAGAGGCCTTCCTCGAACATCTCAACTTATGGATCATCTAGTCATTCTTTTCTTAAAAGTATATTTTATTATTATGCTATTACAGTTGCCCCAATTTTTCCTCCTTTGTCCCCCTCACCTGGTACCCCCCTTCCCACCAGCAATCCCCCCCTTAGTTCATGTCCATGGGTTGTGCATGTAAGTTCTTTGGCTTCTCCATTTCCTATTCTATTCTTAACATCCCCCCTGCCTATCTTGTACCTACCAATTGTGCTTTTTAATCCCTGCACCTTTCCTCCCATTCTTCCCCGCCCCCCTTCCAGCTGATAACACTTCAAATGATCTCCATACCTATTATTCTGTTCCTGTTCTGGTAATTTGCTTAGTTTTTTTAGATTCAGTTGTTGGTAGTTGTGAATTTACTCTGTTACTTTGTTTCTTTACATATCACTTCTCATGATGTGAAATGAATTATTTACATGTTTATTACTTGTCTCCCTTGAGGAGAATGAGAACTGCATTGAGGGCAAGGGCTTTGGCTTGTCCTATGAAACTCCAGGCAGTAATGAAGGTTGGAAGCATGAGGGAAGCAGAAGGAGGCCATGAAGGCAAAAGCAGCTGGAGTGGAAGGAGGGCTCCAGCAGTTTATTTAGCCTCTAAGTCAGTTCTCTGTGGGCTGTTGTACATGCGATGGGTATATATAAACCCAGGACCATCCATACATTTGCTCATTTTTCAAGATGCACAAAAGGAACCTCCCCCTCCCCTGGAAACCAGAGAAATCCCTGAACTCAGTATATTCAGATTAGTCTTCTTTAAGTTCCAAAACAATAATGTTTACAATCAACCAGGGATTTTTCATTTATAATACTAGCTCAAATTTAAATGTTCTATTTTTATTTTTAGAACCAAACACATGCATGAGGGGGAAAATACTACATTTTTTTCCATGTTCTGTTTCAAAGTACAGATTTCTAAATATAATTGAATATTCAGATAAGATTGTTTTCATTTTTTTGAAGAAATTCAAACTTATGAAATAAAAATATCACGAAGATAGTTATCAGTATCAACAGAATCTGAAAATTGTTTAAATAAAGCATCTTCAATTAGAATATTTAACTTTCGGTTTATCTAAAAGAAACATTTTTAATAATAAGTTTGTAACATCTTTTTATAACTAAACACAAATCAAATGGCTGAGGCAAAGTCATTTTTTGAATAACAGTTAAGATTATTGCTTTAGTACCTGTTTAAGTGTTCTGATTTTTACAGGCTATTTTCAAATAAAACAACTATATGGACAAAAATATATGTTATCTTGATATTGCTTTAATGCTATAGCCTCTTTTCAAATTACTTCCTCTTGATTGTAGTTCTTTGCTTGACCTTCCTCTTTTAAAGATCTGTTTGTTAGAGAAGAACCCTAAGTATTCCGAATTCTATGCTATTTGGTTAATGTGACTAAAGAAGCTTATCTTGGGAGTTATATTATGTTTTCTAAATTCAAAATTTACTCTAGAATAAATATGGTTGAATTACACTGTTTGGAGACCTGTGCTATATAACATAGCTTACTAACTTAAAACAGTTTGAGAGAACACTGAAGGTTAGCTATCTGTGCAAATCTATTATCACATTTTAGGGCCCACTAGCACTTGAAAAAGTTCTATCTAGTTGTGAGGAATCTGACAAATCTTACAGAAAACAGGAACTGCTGTTGGTCAGAAAGGTTGCTAAAGATCATAGTTACACACTATATACCCTGTTGTTCTACAGTAATTACCATTAAGGCATTTTTTTACTTTTGTGGAATGTTGAAAAGGAAAGAGTCTGAGACCTCAGCACTAAAAAACTTGTATTTGTGTTACATTATTTAAATAACTAAAATAACACAAAACTAATGGCATAAGCTAAAGACATTGTTCCCTATTATTTGTCACAAAAACATCAAAAACTGTTTAAATTGTGAAACACAAATACAAAAGATAACATTGTGGAAAAAGCTGTTACAGAAAAAGATATGAAATGTGCTTTAATTTTAATATAATGAAATAAAACTCCTTCAAACAAACATTTTTAAAATTTCTACTCAAGGACAAGCACTGAAAATATGCAAAGCTATTACAATATAGTCTATAAACAAAAATGAGTAAACAGCGATTTAAAGCAATTTGCCATGTTGGACATGGTAAAATTGTAAATTACATAAATAAAATATCAAGAATTATAAAATTATTGCTCTGACAACCAATACAAGTAAAAAGAATCCTATTTTAATCTAAGTCAAATGGTGTAACACTACCATAAACAATGTACCAAAAAATCAGAAACAAATTCTTTTAAGATTTTACTACTTTTGCTTAACCTTAATCATAGTAAATTGTATGTTTAACTCTCCTTATTCCATTAGAATAATCTCAGAGAAAATCTTTATATAACTGTAATAGCTGCAATAGGAAAATTTCAAAAAATAATGTTTCTGATGGCTAGGTGGATACTGAAAATAGCCTAGTACAGAGTTCACTAAAATAACTGCATGGGAATCATTACGGTATTTTAGATGTTAAAAATTGATTTCCCATTGCATTATATGATACATTCTGTTGCAGTTAAAACTTTTATAAAAGGCTATATGACTTATATTTCCTACCACACTTACATATACTTAAAATGTTAACATAAAAGTATGTAAGTAAAAATACTTGGAAAAACTTGTAAACCTCTCCTTTATTTCAGTAGACAAAAAACTGTTTCAACGTCCTGGATGAAAGAGTTCTTGATGTTGCCATGGAACTGGAAGGAAAAACAACACAAAGATTTGAGATAAGGCAGTGATGTAGACTAATGGCACATAATAGTACAGTGGAAAGACCTGAGTTAAGTTAAACCCAAAGAGACCTAAGTTCTAATCGAACATCTGCCCTTTACTAGCCATGGGATCCTGAGAAAGTGATAAAAGCCTCCCT